GCCATCAAGTGTGCAATATTCTAAATGTGTGTCACAGGTCAAAGAGCCTTCAAGACGAGGAACAAAAGCCATCCTTTTGTGCCCTCCGGACTGTGCACGGACACAAAGATACACTGCAATTTCTCTCCTGAATGTAAACTCAAAGTTCAGTAGGATATCTGCTCTGTTCTATCTCTCTCTTACGCTTCTTTCTCTCTTTCAACTCCCCCCCCCCGTCTCTCTCTCTCTCTCTCTCTCTCTCTCTCTCTCTCTCTCTCTCTCTCTCTCTCTCTCTCTCTCTCTCTCTCTCTCTCTTCTCTCTCTCTCTCTCCTCTCTCTCTCCTCCCTCCCCCTCCCTCCCTCCCTCCCTCCCTCTCCCTCCCTCCCTCCCTCCCTCCCTCCCCCCTTCCCCCTCATTTACTCTTTATATCTATCTATCTACCTTCCTTCCTTCCTTCCTTCCTTCCTTCCTTCCTTCCTTCCCTTTTCCCTCCCTTTTCCCTCCCTCTATGCACGCACACGCAGTATATATCTGATCCTCTGAACTATAATTGTTGCATCACCGAATACCAGGAAATGGATGTTTTGATTTTGATTTTGCATCCATGCGGTTCTGGGCGTTGTTCAGGTGAAACTAACGAGAGAATTGTGCATGGAAGCGTGTATTTTTCTGCTTATTTTACCCATTTGTTTGTTTTTGTTATCTGGTGGCCGTGAGTTACTTTAAAATCGAGGTGACCTTCGCAGTAGAATTATGTAATCGTTTGTAGTTCTCCAATGATAATGCAGATAACTTCAGATTTATATGTAGCATTTTAGCGCTGTGCATTGCGATAAATTAATGGCATCGGTTGTTGTTTTCAAGTGTTTGAGAGCATCGCATTCCATGTTTACTCCGCGTTTTACTTTGTGGCGGTTCAGGGGAAGCGCACCGGGCGGAAATAAATCTGTGATTGCAAGTGTTGGTTGAACTGCCGGAGATGATGTGATTGCATTAGTGATATTGCTGTTGTTTTTTTGATTTTATGAAAAGTAGGCTTAAGGAGATGAACTTGAATTTGCATAATTTGCTTTAATGACATTCTTATTGTATAACCAGTTGATAATTATTTTTTTACGACGAAATGCATGCAACTGCTTTGTTTTCGCAGGTTCATTTTGTTTTCATAGTATGGTATTTATTTGGTCTAGATGATAAAAAAAACTGCCATACCATAATTTAAACATGCAATTAAAATGTGTCGGTGATTTCAGATGGATCTCCAATCAAGGTTGGACTTAAAGATGGAATTAAGAAGACTGAAGTTGGTGCTGGAAGGGGCACTGCAACTGCACCCATCGGCAGCGCCGCTCAGCAGCAGGCTGTGGCACAGCAAGCAGCCGCAGCACAACACAAGTCTGATGAGCCAACTGACTGTTACCTCAAGGAATTGTACGCACAGATTACGTCGGTAGTTGCCTCAAAGCCCGATGAGAAGGATAACATTAATGAAGGTAAGCTCGGAAGCCTTGCATTGGATGGTGATGCTATAAGGAATGAAGCAATTAATATGCGATATCCTGTTTTAATAAAAGGCTGGAATTACTAATGACGTTGCGTTTCTCCGGCCACAGATGAGAGCGAGGATCCGGCTGCCGTTCCCATGATCTGGGTGAGCAAGTGGGTTGACTACAGCGATAAATATGGTCTGGGATACCAATTGTGTGATGACTCCATTGGTGTGCTCTTCAATGATTTCACCAAACTCTTGTTGCTAGCTGATGGAGAGTGAGTAAACGGTTTGGCTTGTGTAATCAGAATGCAATCGCAGTTTTACCCCAGGCATAATTTAGCGACGATTTCCACCAGTAATTACTGAAGTGATTTTTAAAGCAAAATGTTAAATGGTCTGCACTTCATTCATATTATGATTTGATTCCCACTTGATTCTCTATAATGGTAATGTCACACTAAAAATCAAGATGTTTATTGGCCATTATACTGGCATCCCAGTAAAAGAGCATTGTGTGTTTTGTACTTTTTATGATCGAAATATTCTAATTACAGGAACATTCACTACATTGAGCGTTCAAATGCTGAACACTATCATACACTGAAGAGCTACCCAGGAGCATTAAACAAAAAGGTGACGCTTCTGCGCTACTTCCGTAACTACATGAATGAACACTTGTTGAAGGCAGCTGCCTCTATGTGCCCAAGGGAGGGTGATGAGCTTGCCCGAATCCCCTCACTCAGGACCTACTTCCGGACACGGTCGGCCATCATTCTTCACTTGACTAATGGAACACTTCAGGTAAGCTGTTTTATATTAATCTGAATTATGTATTTTGATTTTACCAGTTAATTTTCAACCTCTCCAGCAACAATGGTGATATTCTAGTTTGTTATAATGGATAATTCAGTATTTGCCTTTTACATAGATTGCAATTCTTTGTACACCATACATTTCTTGATTAAAATTGAAATGTATATTTTAAGAGACCTGTAATATGGAAAGGGATGGATGCATGTATATTGTCTTTTATTCCCTGTAAATACACTCGCAAAAGTTAGTGATTTAAGTCACTGGTAAAATTAATAATTATTTTTTATACAGATCAACTTCTTTGAGGATCACACCAAGATTATTCTCTGTCCCTTAATGGGTGCTGTCACATACATCGATGAAAAGAGGAATTTCAAGACCTACAGGCTGGCCAGCCTTGAAAAGGTTAGATCAAGTTATTTATTTTTCATATTTCACAGGATTTACAAATTGTCCTGAACAAAAAGTTGGAAAGAAATTTAGAAAAGTTCATGTTGTACTTTTTACTAATAGTTTGTTTTTAACATCTATTTAGAGTGTTTGTGTAAGCATGTATTTGTGAGAGTGAGTGAGTAATTGTAATTGAATGAATTGAGGAATTTTTTGGGGGGTGAAGTTTTGTAATACAAACATGCACAGATAGATTAAAAAATTTTGAATATTTATTTGATGTAAAGAAGGGTAATCAAATTGATTTTCCATAATTACTTTATTATTAAAAGACCCTCCTGTCTCTTCCAGTATGGATGCCGACCTGACCTTGCAAACCGCATGCGCTATGCTCGCAACATGATTCAAAAGCTTATGGTTACGAAATCCTCCACGACCAAGTCCTCCACTGCTTCTTCCTCTGCTGCTGCCCAGCACACTCAGCCCACCACTGCTTAAATAGTGCAACGATAAAAGTTACTGTCCAAAGGTTGAATATTTATTCACCAGTTTTCTAGTTATCTATTGTTTAAGCATATATGTGCTAGATCTAAACTTGGTTAGAATAGTGACAATTTTTAGCATGTTACCTAAGTTGAAGAACATAGAGCAGTTCTGTATCTCTTCCTACCTGTGACTACAAGTGTCCATGAAGTATGCCACTGTGGCAGTGCTTTGGAGGTGCTGGATATAAATATCCATTCAGGTGGATTAACTTGTACCAAAGTGATGAATGTATGTTAGAATACAACTTTGTAATTAGCCTCAAAAGACTGACGGGAAAAGTCAGTTTAGGTCATAGTATGTCCTGATTTATATTTTCTGATAAGTTTCAAGAATACACACTATTGCATGAGTAAAGACTTAGGTTTTATGATGGTTACAATAAAACCTGATAGAATGAGGGGTGCAACTTCTAGCTTGGAATCAAGATTTAGAAAATGATTGATCTCTTATACTTGTATCATTGCTAACTAGACCTTTGGTTTTCATATCTGTTAGCATGTTACACTGTATGCTACTTAGTTGGCATCTATGGTTATGCCATATTAATGAAATGAAAATCCTATATATTTATTGTTTTTAAACATGTTTGTTTTATTTATAGGATGTTTTATAAGTTTGCAATAACTGAGAGGAAAACACAAGGTGAATCACAGTATTTTGTACTACTAATTCATAATTTTTAAAGATATTATTGCAGTACATGACTTTATGTTCTGTTTAGTTTAGCTTATGGATTTCTATTATGATATTTTTATATTGATTTTGATTGTATCTGGGGAGTATATTACTGTAGGATATACCAAACTCAGATAAAAGTGTGCTTGGGAATGAATATGATTTTTTTTTTTGTTTTCATTGCTATTGGGAAATATTGTTGTTTGAAGACTGGGATGAAGTAAAGGCTAGATTGTGATTACAAGAATGTTCTAGCCATTCCAGAGACCGTTTTAGTATTTTTTTTGTGTTCTATAAAGAGAGTCCCACGCATTGCGCCCTTATGTTGATATAAGGAATTATTAAAGAACATCAGCTATTAAACTTTTATTTTATTTTATGTGAACTCATGTTCTTCCTTTCCCTGTAGTAACATGAATGTAAATAATAACTGGTAGATTGTAATGTGTTTTGTACTCCCTGATTGTAACATTACATACTGACTGTACTGACAAAAGTAGTATATATTTGGGTTTAAAGTCAAGGAAATTTATTTACAGATTTTCATATTCCACACTGCCTTGCAAGAGATTTCTGGTCACATATTTTCATCTGATTGCATATCATTTTGTTCATTATTTCCACAACTGTTCGTAATATCATGCTGTATGTTTATTTTACATCTTGTATCTCTATCTCTTTATTTTACGTGATACATAAGTGTACATAGTCCATGCAGTAAAATAAAGTATGTATAATTAAGAATATTCTGTCAATCCTACACTTCGTTTTTTTTCTTTTTTTTTTATTATTATTATTATGAATTTAGACAGACGTAAAAGTTCTTGCTGTGACAAAACATGGTGGTGGAAAATCTTAGTGAACTGAACTTAGGGACTGGGATATTATCAATGGAACTATTGAGTGGGCACTTTTCTTCTCTGCATTATCTCTGACAAAATGCATGTAATTTAAATTTATAAACATTTACTTGCATTCCATTGTGTCAAAAAATTAGATGTAGATGAAAAGCCCAAGAAAATGTATATATGGTATCTGCACATTTACTAAATATAAGGATAGGCTAACAGTCTTGAGTATGGAACTGGTCCTTCAAGAGATTATTTAAATATTATAAATACAATATAAAGAATTCTCCCAGATTTTCAGTGACCTAGAGTAAGTAAACAAAAAGACTAAATATTAATAAATATAACATGAAATTGAAATAACTCGTTTGTTGTCCTGTTTATTCAAGTTTGTAAGTCGACCAGCACTCCTATTTTGGTTGACAATGCTAGAGTGAAATACTCAAATTAGGACACAATCTGTTAATTACTTCCATTAACATGAAGAAAATAGTTCTATAATCTCCACTCATACAGGTGTAAAAGGAATGCAAAATATTCCTTTAAGGAATATCTTACAGACCTGAATGCTTCCTACCCGAACCATATCTCATGATGCTGCAGATCTGTTACAATATCTCTTGACACTAGCAGATATAGTACTTTCAGAGTTCTACATGTAACTCTCCCCCCCTCCCCCATCCCTTGCTTTTTGTCGTAGGGGGTTTTCAACATTACTCTAGATAGTTGACGCATAGCAACTATCACCTGACATCCCCCTTTACTATACCTTCCTATAGTGCTATTTGACCTTGGATGTCTAGCACATTTATTTAGCTTTTAACCATTGTCGTAGGGGGAAGGGCTTGAAGGAAACAGGCTCAATATGGCGGATCACCTCTACCTTGGACCTCAAACCTCGCCTCAACTAATTTGGCATGGCAATTTCTTCTTTCCTTTTCCTTCTCTTCTTCATCCACTTCTACCCACCTCCTAAAGTGTGAATCGTACTAAAAGGCTGGCTTGGTCTGTCCTAAATGGCCTTCCTACTCTATTTGCTCTTCCCTCTTTACCCTTTTCACTACCATGCTAACCTACAGCCCTGCGCAAGCTTTTACATCTAACATATTTCATCCTATTTGTTAACTCATTTTAACTTTTTTTGTCACAGTACGTTATCATAGTTCTGTGTAGCCTTTGATGTCTGGCATATTTATTTGTTTACCATTCTGGGAATCCACAAATATCGCTTTATAAACCAAAAAACTTCCTTGCCCGGGGGCTTCGTCCCCAAGCCTTACCGTATCACTATATTCTGAGTACGCTGCTAACACCCTTTGATGTTGACTTGGTAGAAAATTTTCAATTAATAAAATAAAATAGTTGTTTATGCCATGTTGACATCACTAATGTCAAAGACTCAACAGAGTTTGTAAATATCTAAAACAGTTTATAATCCTTTATGCAAGCAAAGGTCAAAACATAAATATCTGGACTTGATAGCACTGTCTTGCTTGCAGTTATACCTAGCAATCCTGTTTTACTTTTGACATTTTGACTCAATAATTCATCTAAGGAAAATAACATTGCATGTTTGTTGTTCACCACTTCTTTCAAAGAAAAAGCAGTGATCTTTAATATATAATATAGAGTAATGAAATGTTTATGGTATGCATCGTGCCCTTAAATGCTTTCAAAATACTAACAAACGGCTTAATTAAAAACTGATTTACAAGTAAAGGCAGAATATACTCGGGCATTCTTTTTTATGAAAATTTTAGTTCAAGAAGTGAAAGAACAATTTTCCCATAATCAAAACCTCGAACTTTGTCTCCTGCTTCACTGAAATAAGGCACTTCAGAGTTACATACAGTATATCAAATTACTGTGATTTGTTCTACATGTAGTCTTTGGTCCACACATTGCTTGCATCATTCCTGAGTTCGTGCCCACATAATGGACGTCTCTGTGACAAGTCTTGTTCACACCAATTACCTTTCGAAGTGGTGAATCTGTTACAATAAATAAATGAACAGAAAATTTCGCTTCTGGTGAAAATACCAAGAAGTGTCTGGTATTCCTGCCTGAAGAGGAATCAAGTTTCATAGAACCGTCACGGTAACCTTGTGCAACATGATGTAGCCACATGTCTATTTCCTCTGCAGTCACAAGTTAGGGTGCTTTCCGGACAGTGTTCGCTCGTGTGGACGGGGATCAAAGCCTGCTGAAAGTGTAGCTTATTTGTTGAAAAAAATGTGATCTATACTCGTGATGTATAAATATTCTCACATCAAGCTGCCTTTATCATACATGCTATGTGCCTATCATATCACAAATGCCCCTTATCACACAAAAAGGCTGACCCAATTGCAATATATTTTCATCCTAAGGGACTTCGGGCGTGCCTTCTGTTACGGGTACGACGGCAGGGCGTTGGTCGTGGAAATGGGAGAAAGCAGCAGATTCAACATTTTGCACAGCTGATCTGGATACGCTGAGGAAAAGTGACGTCAAAGGGTCCAAAGAAGTAATTTTTCCCGCGGCGCCCGCGCTCGGCGGGGCTGCCTCTTGCTGGGGAGCATTCGGACGAGCCTGTGGTGTGCTTGCCCTTAATGGTGCAGAGGTTGCAGAAGATGGCGTTGCGGGCGTCGACGCAAGTGAGGTGATAACTGATGTAGTGCTAGATGGTGGGGTCGTTCCTGGAGTAGCAGACGAGAAGAATGTTTTTGGAGTGGTTTCCTGCACGACGGTAGAGAAAGTTGCGGGCGTGGTTTCCACAGTGGTTGACCGTTGCATCGAGGCACGGCGAGCTTGTGTTGCCAAACGACGCGCAGTGACCTCTTCGGCTCCTGGCATAATCAGACGCACTGGGTGTCTTGCAGCTAAACCTTCGGGTATCGTGGATACCTCGTTTTCCTGAATCGTTGGCGTCACTGAACCAGTAGACGTGGAGACAGGCGGAGCCGTGGATGTCACAGGTGGTGAATCAAGAAAAGTTTCCTGAAGTGGGGACTCTTGGGTAACGGTGGTAGAAAAGGAGGGCTGTGTCTGGGCAATCTCAATGTGTCCCAAGGAAGGCTGTGGCGAAGTCTTCGAAGGCAAAGTGTTAACGGACTGGTCCTGATTAACTTGCAGGATGCGGCTACTAGCGATCGCTGGAGAAGCAGGAAGGGCAGAGCTGGCCGGTGTGGTGGCGAGTTCCTGAGACAGAGAAACTTGAGAAGATGATGCAACATTTACTGGCAATGATGGCAAAGGAGAAGGCAGAGGGGGAAGGGAAGTTGAAGAGAGAAGATGGGGAGTGGGTACCACAGGCTGGTGAATAAAGTTCTTTTCTTGAGCGAGGGGATCAGCAGGAGAGGGAAGTGAGCTTCCTGGAATTGATAGCTGGGCGTCGGTAGGTGGGTTTAGCGAGACCTCATTTTGTTGATGAGATGTACTTTGCTCTGGGGTAGATAGGGTTAAAGAAGCAGATGCTTGTGACTGGGGAGTTAGTGGAACGTCAGAAGACGTGGAGACAGGGACGTCGGACGCCGATGACTGATGCTGAGGAATTGAGTTTGCGATTTGTGAGGGAGAGGATGCTAATATGGACTGTGACGTGGCTGGTAAGGCATGAGGGGTAGAGGACGGGGGCTGAGGTGTAGAAGAGAGAAGCTGAGAGGTCGAAGGTAGGGGCTGAGAGGCTGTAGCTGGAGACTCGGATACGGCGATTGAAAGCTGAGGAATGGCGACTGCAGGTTCATGGACTGCGGTCGAACTCAAAGTCGATATGTCGAGTGAAGCCTGGGCGCTTGTGAGGGTCATGGTCTCGGGAATGACAGGTATAGGGGTTAAGGTATTTGCTACAGGCGCTCGAGGCTGATTTCGCAGGGCAATAGAGGGGTCTACCATCTCGTCCATTATCGGATTAGATTGAATATCAGGTAACAAGTTTGGCAACATTGAGGGTAATACATGAGGCCGCGCCCCTGAGGATACATGTGATGGCACATTTGATGCCACGAGCACAGCCGGGGTGATGTGAGGCGAAGAAGCGGGGCTGGAAGGTGAGGTCACCGGGCGTTGGTTCGAGGCCTGCGAGGGTGGCGCCTGGGGTGCAAAACCCGGCGGGTGAACTAGGAATACTTGGGAATCTGGGGAGTTGAAGAAAGGAAGGTCCAGCAGCGAGCGTACGTTCAGCACCGAGACCTGCAAGGATAGTTCTTCTATAGTGTCGTTACATTCTTTGCATGGACGAAAAAGGCAAAAAATGCTGTGGCACAGATGCACACCACACCTTTGTTAAAGTTATATGACGGGACTTGCCTGCTGGACGCCACCCGACAGAAGATCCTCCCGCGCGGGGGCCCCGGCCACGCTGGAGAGGCCCGTCGCACCCGCCGCCACCAAAGCCATCATCCACAAGAACATCTTTGTGAACACGTCAACCTCCTGTTGGAGAAAGATAACAGATTAGAAAGAAATCGTACATGACGGTAGCATCTCTCACCATTTTGATGGTATTCTATGTCATTTTGAGTATACGTTTGAGCGTGTGAATATCTAAATAATCATTATCATGTGAAAAAACAGAAATGAGGAAATTATGAGTAATTTTCTTAGGTTATATATAAAGTTTTGTGGAGTGCAAAGGATATTGTATCGGATGTGAAATATAAAATCCTTATATTATGGCTGTACACTCAAGCTTGCAAAATGCAAGAACACAGGAATATTACAAAAGTGAATGAATGGTTCTTGAATAGTGTAAAAAAATCATAAATATGAAGACTAATTACATTTCACGATATCGCAAAATGAATAAAAAGTCCTTTAATGGATTAAAATATGCAAATGTACTGTAAACTTATTAACACATCAAGATGTCAATATGGTACAAATTTAGGGAAGACTTTGCTTTGTAATGCTACGCAGCCGAATGTACTTCTAAACTACTGACATATTTAACTTACAATATGCCACAAAGTTAGGAAAGAAATTGGCATGTGATGCAGCAATGCAGCAGCAAAACTGTAATGGAAATAGTACAACTTTTTTGTTTGATATCAAAGACAAAAAAATAGAAAACGTTATGATTTTGGGATGTTATTTTCAACGAAATAACCGAACAGGGTGTATTAGTCATCTAACAATCTAAAATACATAAACACATACATACATGCACAAAAGGTAAGTTAAGTAAGTAGGTCGACCTAATTTTGCAAAAAGCCATCGTTTCGTTCAACAATTTGACTTGGGAAATCATTTCACTGCTTGGAGTTAGCTGGAGTGGAGGGAGAGAGGGTGAGAGGGTGAGAGGGTGAGAGGGTGAGAGGGTGAGAGGGTGAGAGGGTAAGAGAGTAAGAGAGTAAGAGAGCAAGAGAGCAAGAGAGCAAGAGAGCAAGAGAGCAAGAGAGCAAGAGAGCAAGAGAGAGAGAGAGAGTAGACAGAGAGACAGAGACAGAGACAGAGACAGAGAGAGAGACAGAGACAGAGACAGAGACAGAGACAGAGACAGAGACAGACAGAGACAGAGACAGAGACAGAGAGAGAAGAGAGAGAGAGAGATAGAGATAGAGATAGAGAGAGAGAGAGAGAGAGAGAGAGAGAGAGAGAGAGAGAGAGAGAGAGAGAGAGAGAGAGAGAGAGAAAGTTGCGAACTTTCATTTTTCAGATTCTAATAAACATTATCACTTATAACAATATATGCAATTTATGTAATGAAACATCATCATCTATATGATATTACAGTTATTGGCAGCGTACACCGCAAGCTCACAACAAGTCTTCAACAAGTTTTTTTGAACAATATATAAGAGATGAATGTATGGAAGTATGCATAAATTGATCCCTTTTATAAAACTGAGAAACTGATTCAGTTGGATGTGAGGCAAATGAATATATGGAAGGAATAAAGATGGATGAGTATTGTTTATTTGTTTATGTGAGCGTGCGTGCGTGTGCGTGTGTTCGTGGGTGTGAGTGTGCGCTTGTGCGTGTATTTTATCCATGCACATAAGTACGTATGCATATACGTATGTACATATGTATGTAAATAGCAAAATATGGAGTGTTATTTTAGTAAATTTACATCGTATACGTATACGGGATCCACCAACGTGACAACTGCCGTCGCATGTCAACCAACTCATCAAATTTCCGTTTTATTCCTTTTTTTGTTTCCCTTTGCCTTTTTGAGTGGGGGCAGGGAGGAAGAGGAAGAACAAACTGCACTCTTTTACAAATTCAAATATATTCTTCCATGTATTCAGAGGGAATATGCGAGAAAACGAAAAATGTAAGAACACTACCTGTTGAAAACCAATTTGTTTTGATACATGGCCGACACCTGGAGCAATATTTTATGCTTTAACGTCACGCCGAAATGGGAAACTGTGAAATCTCCTCGAAGAGAAATATGTACATATATATCTGGACGCGCGTTTATATGAGGAGACTATTCCGTGCATGCTATCCTGAGGGTCTATTCCATCCTATACATTAACAATGGAATTAGCGTCTTATGCTTGCAAGCAATTGTTGGATTTTCCTACTTTGGTACGATTTCAGAATCACTTTTAAACATCTTTCTCTTTGATGAACAAATACCCTCCTCTAAAAGAGCAAAAGAGGAATAACAAAAAATAAAATACAACAATGGTAATGATCAAGAAATATAAAATGAATATATAAATACATTGCTGAATATTCCTACTCATTTTCACGAACGAACTGATAGCCACGAAAGAACAATCACGACGCATAACAATCACGAATGGAAGAACAATCACAACGGATAACAATCATGAATGGAAGAACAATCACAACGAATAACAATCACGAACGGAAGAACAATCACGACGCATAACAATCACGAACGGAAGAACAGTCACAACGCATAACAATCACGAATAGAAAGCCAATCGTAAATACAAGAACAATCGGGGAAGAACGGAAGAATAATAATCTAACGTGCAATTACGAACAAACAGACAAGCAAGAACGAATGAACAGCCACACAAAGAAATGTTTGCGAACGACCCAATACTCCACGGGCGAAATAACAATCAAGAATGAATGAATGAACAATAACGAACAAACAAATCATAAGCGAACAAAGACACACACACAAACAAAAAATCCCTCACGAACGAGGAATTCCACACGAACGAGCGATACCGAACGAACGACCGATCACGAACCATCAGGACTCGACTCCAGCGGCACCGAGACGCCATCGAACCCAAGACTCACTCACGCGAACCACAGAGCTCGTTCCTGCTCACTCTCTCGTACAACCCCGGGATTCTTCGTTGGTTTTCACGGCGCGTTATTTTCATTCACAAAACAATCGCGTGCATTGTTGTTAATAACGCGGCTGGTATTTTTTTTTTTATTTGACATTTTATAATTTTTCGAATTTAGATACATTGGTTACTGTAGGCGTAACGTATTAGTAACTAGGGTTTTATTCGCACTTTATCCGATTCGAGTTTTTCTATATTTGATATTATATATTTTCGAATTTTTATATATCGGTTACTGTATGCGTAACGTATTAGTAAATAGGGCTTTATTCGCACCTTATTCGATTCGAATTCATGTCCGTTTTTACAAGACGAAGACTTACCTGCGACTTGAGCATTTCGACGCCGTATGTTTTCCCTCCCGCTCGCCTTCTTCAAGCTCTTTCGCACACATAGAATAAAGCACTGGCGAGGACGGGTGTCTCTGCCTTATATATACACACGACGCCGCGTCGGGTGGGCGAATGATCTAGATTCTAGTAAACTTC